GGCCGCGCGGGGGGGGGGGGGCGAGGGGGGGTCGCGGAGCCAGTGTCGGCGCCTGAGGGGGCCGGAAGGGGAGGTGGCCGGAGCTTGGGCCGGGGGAAGCCGGGGGAGATGGGAAGGGGCGCCAGCGCCGGGGAACCCGGAGCTAGAGAAAGGACGCCGGGGCGCCCGGAAATGGTTGCTGGGGAGGCTGGAGGGGATGGGGGAGACTGGGAGATAGTTGAGGACGCCGCCTTCGCCCCTCTGAGTCAGGCCGTGCAGGGGAGTGAGTGAGGAGGGGCCAGGATTGAGATAAAGGGGAGTCCTGGGCGGGAACGGAACCTGGAGCGGCCCGGGAGCCGTGGGGTGGCGCCGGCACCCAGGTCTCCTGTGGGTCCTGCCAGGTGCAGTTGGTATCTGTGGAACACGGCACTTCTCTCGGGAGGGCCGCGCTTGACAGCAGTCAACCCCCCGTGTTTCTGTTGTGAGTTGAGGGTCGTGTCCCCGCGCAGCCCCCTGCCGTGTGGCACCCACGCCGTGACCCGGCATCTGCCCTTTAGTGAGACCAGAGCTGCGGGCTGCGTTTACCTGGGTGAGGATGGGGAGAGGAACTTGCTGGTGGTTCGCCAGTCTTGTTGAGTTCTTAGATCTGGGCTCAGGCCGGGATGGCTGCTCCCTGGCCTTAATTTCCCACCTCACATGAACTGCCTTTTACCGAAATTGTGGGAAAAGGTTAAAAATGGATCGCTTGAGATGGCAAACGATCACACCTGTGGTAGCATAATGAACACGGTGATATTTTTGCCCTTTACTACGTTATAGCATGTTAATATCCGCGCAGGGGTGAAGTAGGTGTTATCTTCATTCATTTCGTTCAGCGTGTGTTTATTGCATCCCTCACTGAGTGCCAGGCACAGTCCTAGGTGCGCGATCAAAATCAAACTCTCTCCTGGAGTTTATGTTCCAGCTGGGGACACAAGTGAATACATAATTTCTGTTAGTGTAAAGTGCTATGAAGAAAATAAAGCCTGTTAATGGGATAGCGGGTGTGGGGGTGGGTAGGGTGTGCAGAGTGGGAAACAGAATGTAGTAGCATGGTCATGACAGTCCTCTGACATGGCAGGAGTCAAGCTGAACCCGAAGTGATGAAAGGGAGTCAGCTATGCACAGATTGGAAGGGAGTGTTCTCAGTAAGGGCAACAGCAAGCACAAAGGCTTTGAGATGAAAACAAGATTGTTTTGTTTAAGAAACAGAAAGTTCTGTGGCTCAAATGGGCCAGCAGTAAAAGAGGTCAGTAAGGTAGGCAGATATGGAAGAACTGAGGCCCAAAGAATGCAAAGATATTGTACAGTGACCTGTAATTAGTGAACGTCAGAACTAAGACTTTCGTCCTTGCTGGTTTTCCAAATCCCATTCACTTTCCATTGCACTGTGCTGTGTTTTTCCCAGAAGTTGTAGGAGACTCTGGACTTTTTGCATTTTAGTAAAGGTTTGTTCTCCATCTGGTGGCCTGGCATAGAGAATTTGTCTGATTTGGGTTGGGGAGATAAGTGAGTGTCATTTTTTATACTTTTCATGACAGTCTTTAGCTTTTCATTTACATAGATGCTTTCAGTTGATGAAATTACTTAAGGTTTTGGAAAGAGTCTAATCTAGAAAACTCTTGCCTAGGAGGTTGATTGCTCCCAGGAGTCACTGCAGTGAGCTTTTTTTGGGAGAGATTTTTGCTATAGGGCGCGTGCGCTCGCCAGACAGACAGAGACAGAGAGACAGAAAGCGAGAAATCACCCCCCAGGGGGGATGGTCACGCGGCAATCCCTTCTCCTCCATTCTCCTCTCGGGATCTTGGGCACGCACGCACACACACATGCCCGGCATGAGTTTTAAGCCACTGTGTCTGGGACGCGAACCGCAATCGACTACATGGGAATCCAGCGACATAGCCATTACGCTAACTGCTGGTTCCCGTGAGCTTCTTTTTAATAAGGGGTTGGTTGTCAGGGTTGGGAAAGGGTTGCTGAAAAGAATGACTATCCAGGGCCAGCAGGTGGCATGGTGGTTAAGGCATTGGACTCCTGTCTATATCGTCAGTCGCAGCTTGAGTCCCAGACCCAGTGACTTGCTTTCTCACTTTTCTGTTCCCTCTCTGTCTTTCTCCAGTGATCCAGTGAGCACATGTGAGAGAGAGGGAAAGTGAGAAATCACTCTTCCCCCACCCCTGCCTGGGAGAATGGGCATGCTGCAGTCCCTTCTCCATTTTCCTCTCAGAATTTTGGGCATGTACACATGAGTGCCTGGTGTGATTCTGAAATTGCTGGGTCTGAGACTCGAACTGTGAAGCTGGCCATGTGGGATTCAATGCCTTTAGCACCACAACACTTACTGGTCCCCCAACCTGTCTTTTATCATAGGTGGTTTTCTCAGTTGCTGTCAGAATTTTTTTTTTTTTTTTGGAGAGGTTTTTGCTATAGGGCGCATCCGCTCGCCAGACAGACAGAGAGATAGAAAGTGAGAAATCACCCCCAGCAGGGATGGCCATGCCACAATCCCTTCTCCTCTATTCTCCTCTTGGGATCTTGGGCAGGTGCACACACGCCCGACGTGAGTTTTAAGCCACTGGGTCCGGGACGCAAACCACGGTCGACTACATGGGAGTCCAGCAACATAGCCATTACGCTAACTGCTGGTCCCAATTGCTGTCAGAATTTCTCACCCTCCTGTTTTTGTTAGGATACAAGCAGAAGATATGAAAACAAGGCTGGCAGCTTCATCACTGGAATTGATGTCACCTCCAAGGTAAGGTGGGCCATAATTTATTTATTCAGTTTGGTAAGCAGGTGAACTTAATGAACCTAGTTCCCAGGACTTGCAGAGCAGTAAATACTCACTTTCTCCTTTTTTCTTTTGTTCCTTTTGCTGAATTAAAAGAATTTTGTTTTGATTTTGTGTTGCAGTGATGCCTTCATGTATCCTGACAGTGTCCCAGCAACATTCATGTATTCCGACATCCATGAAAAGATAAAGTCACTGTCTAGATACCTGTGCTTAGTCACTTCCAAGGAAAAGTTCTGTGCCGGGAATGCTTTTTTATTTATTTATTTTCTAAGGTTTTTGCCCTGGGGTGTGTGTGCTCACCAGAGAGAGGCTGTGAGAGGGAAAGTGAGAAGTCACTCCCTGGGGGGATGGCCGTGTTGCAGTCCCTTCTCCATTCTTCTTTTGGGATTTTGTGTGCACATGCATATGAGCCCGGCATGATTTTCAAGCCTCTGGATCCAAGACTCGTAATTATAGTTGGCCATGTGGGAGTCCATTGCCTTAACTTACCACCTGCTGGCCCCGCTTTTTAAAAATTCTATGTCCATTCTTTAAAAATGTATACTTGTGGGGCCAGCAGTTAGCATAATGGCTGTGTTACTGGACTCCCGTGTAGGTGACCGCAGTTCAAGTCCCGGACCTGGTGGCTTAAACTCACGCCAGGCACGTGCGCGTGTGTGCCCAAGATCCCAAGAGGAGAATGTAGGAGAAGTGTTGCCGTTGGGGCCCTGCGGCCGGGGGGGGGGGGGGGGTAACTTCTAACTTCTCACTTTCTATCTCTCACTTTCTATCTCTCTCTCACTTTCTATCTCTCTGTCTCTTTCTGTCTTTCTGGCAAACACACACACCCTATAGCAAAAACTTCTAAAAAAAAAATGTACACTTGTAATGAAGGAAAGTAAGCATGAAAAGTCCCTGGCACATAGTAGGCCCTTGATAAATGTTTTTATTTCTCACTGATTGCCAACTTAGAAAAAATAGAGTTTCCAGGCTGGCATATGACTAGTGGTTAAGGCAGCTGGATTGCACACAGTCAACCATGTGGTTCAAGTACCATACCTGGCAGCTGAAGAAACAGGTCCAGCACATGTGCATGCTCACCCAAAATCCCAGAAGGAGGGAGAAATGGAGGAGAAGGGATTATAGCATGAGCAGCCCCATAGGGTGTGTTTGTTCTCCCTCTCTCTGTTTCTGTCTGGCAAATGCATGTGCTCTTTGGCAAAATTAAAAACAAAAAATAGGATTTCCTGGTTGCATGCTTATCTAAACTTAGAAGATGAAGTCAACTGAATTGTTCTCGGTACTTGAGAGTATTACCCTTTATAAAACAAAAAAACAAACAAAAACAATTTCTGTTTTCTGGGGGAGAGAGAGAGCAAGAGAGACAGAAAAAACTCCTACATGGTCTTGATGCTGTGATCCACATCTGCCCTTCAGCCAGCCCTGAATCATGGGCAAGTATGTGTCCAGCATACAGGCATATCTCCAGATTCAAGCTAGAAACCTTCCCATGTTGCCTTTTGCCACTGCACCACTGTCTGGTCCCAGTATTGCCTTTTATCTAGTTATTGTTATTACCAGGTTACCACTTTCGTTGTAACACCCGTCTATAGAGTCAGATCTGTTTCCTTATTGGAAATAATATGTGTTTGTTGATTTAATCAGTGATACCCACTTTAGATGTTTTTTTGAGAGATTTTTGCTTTAGGATGTGTGCACTTGCTGGAGAAACAGAGACAGAAAGTGAGAAATTGCTCCCTGGGGAGATGGCCACAAATTGCAATCCCTTTTCTTCCATTTTTCTCTTGGGATTTTGGACACACATGCACATGTGCCCAATGTGAGTTTTAAGCCACCAGGTCCAGGACTCGAACCATGGCTGACTATCTGGGAGTCCAGCGATGTAACCATTATGCCATCTGCTGGTCCCCTAAATGATATTCATTTTTATTTTAATGTGTGAAACTAAGTTTGGAACAGAACTTTGAATTATAATTCTGAATAATAGTATATATTGCTATGGTGCATGCATAAAAGCAAAAATAAAAGTAAGTTATGCATACCTTTTTACAGTTTGTCTCAATCTGTCTCAAGTTACTTAAAAGCCTAAAGAAAGAACTGATTAACCTTTTTTTTGAGAGGTTTTTGCTATAGGGCGCATGTATTTGTTAGAAGGACAGAGAGATAGAAAGCGAGAAGTCACCCCCCAGGTGGGGTGGCTGTACCACAATCCCTTCTCCATTTTCCTCTCAGGATCTTGAGCACGTACACACACATGCCTGGTGTGAGTTTAAGCCACCGACCCAGTTCCACCTGTGGCCTGGGGTGAGTTTAAGCCACCAGGTCCAGGACTCGAACCACAGTCAACTACATGGGAGTCCAGTGACATAGCCATTATGCTAACTGCTGGTCCCGAGAACTGATTAATCTTAAGACAGACAAGAGAATAGGTGAAATTATAATTGAGAAAGAAGTAGACTTATTCGTAATGCTACTCAGTTTGCCTTTACATGAAGCAGGTATATAGAAGAAAGGGTGGTAGCCCCAGAGTTGATACTTAAATTGTTATTAAAGGAAGGTAGATTTTTTAAAAATTTTCTGGTTTTTTTTTTTAAATGTATATAAGCAAAATTATTTTATTTAAGAGTCAATAAATTCTTATTTAAGGAATATCTGAATTTCTGATTCCTTCCACTGCTCACCAAGGACACCACCACCTTCATTCCTCCAAGGCCCAAGTCAAGATAGTCCTTTTTAAAAGAACTGGTACTTAATTCATAGTTGTCCTGTCAGCCCTACCACAATTTTTTCATGTCTTCCTTTTTCTCCATTAGAACTATGGACATATTGGTAACTTCAAGTCTGTCCACCCAGGAATATTGGGATCCAGTTTCTTTAAATAATTGACTTCAGGCCTTCAACATCTGTGGGATGTCTAATTCCAGACATTTTCAAGATAAAAGCCTTTCATTTCTGGATCCAACTTTTATTGATATGAATGATCCTATCACTTTGAACTGTCTTGAGCAGTAATATTTCTTCTTTATGTATCAAAACTCATACTAAACAATGAGTTTTGGGTTGCAAAAGAGGATTTGTTTTTTGCACTTTTCTGTGTCTTTGGGTAGATTGTTGTTTTTACTAGGAAAATATCAATGAAGAAAATTAGCTTTACTATTGGGAAATAACAGAATTGTTGCTGTTTTACCAATGCCCACAAGCTTCCTATAGTCAGACCTTTATTTAGTGTGGCAAAGCCAATATGCAGTGAGCGAACGGTGTCTAAGAGCCATCAGAAACCCACAGTTGGACCTGGATTGATTTTAGCCACTGGAAGAAATTTACAAAGCTGATTGTTTTTTCAGTGGAGTATCAGTGCTTCTTGTCACTTGAAGATGAAAACTGGCAATTCCATGGACACAAGACTGGGATAGAAGAGAGAATTTCTTTGCTTCAGTGTTATTTTTAAACAGGGAACTAGCTTGAGAGAGCAGACTGCTCAGGCACATGTGATGTGGAAGGGCGTGATAGGTGTTATTACCATGCCCACAGATGTGAAGTGGTGGTAGTGATGGGGGGGGGGTGTCCCTCCTAGAAATAGCACTGGAATCAGGAAGTATACTCTCTTACTAGCTGAAGTAGTTCCAGCAAACCTTTTTACTTATTTGTATCTTAATTTCTACACTTGGAAAATTGGAATGTTTAGATTGTTTAGTTGTAATTTACTGACAAGATTGTTAACAATAACGAAGCGTCAAGAGAACTTCATAAACTGTATAGAGCATTACTCATTAAATCAGCAGATACTCTTTAAATTTCTTCTGTCTCCCCGCACAGTGACGGTCTTGACAGAATGAAGGTAATGAATTATAGCAGTATTGATGTACAACCTTCCAGTCATTGCATGTGATTATCCAGTTCTCTGCAATACTAATTCAAGGCACAATGTTGCTTATTCTAATTTATTTTAGAGTTATTACTGATGCATCTTAACGTGTTTGTGATTTAACTTTCTTCCTCCATGTTTTACTTCTATGGCTTTTTCTGTACTTTCTAGGAAGCAATTGAAAAGAAAGAACAGCGAGCCAAGCGCTTCCATTTTCGATCCGAAGTAAATCTTGCCCAGAGAAATGTAGCCTTGGACCGAGACATGATGAAGAAAGGTATGAGGTGTCTTGGGGAGAGTTTTCCGCATTTCCTCAGATAGTGACTTTCCCTGCCATCATCTCATGCCTTGCATGTCCAGTCCCGTGCAGATATTCCTGGAAGAAGGGACTTGTGAAGTCTTCGTTTCTGAGGTCATCTAAACATGTTTTTTTTTATTTTTTAAAGAATTATTTTATTTAACTTTATGTATTTGTATATTTACTTATTTATTTTTAATTTGACCAGCGAGGGACAGAGAGAGAGAAAGTGAGAAAGCAAGCCAGCAGGTCCAAGATTCAATTTTTTTTTTTTTTGAGAGGTTTTTGCTATAGGGCGTGTGCGCTCACCAGAAAGACAGAGACAGAGAGACAGAAAGCGAGAAATCGCCCCCCAGATGGGATGGCCATGTCGCAATCCCTTCTCCTCCATTCTCCTCTTAGGATCTTGGGCACGCACGCACATGTGCCCGGCATGAGTTTAAGCCACCAGGTCCAGGACTCAAACCACGGTCGCCTAGGTGGAGGCCCAGCGACATAGCCACTATGCTAGCTGCTGGTCCCATCCGGGACTCAAATTGTGATCGGCCATGTGAGAGTCCAGTGACCTTAACCACCATGCCACCTGCTGGGCCCAAGGTCACCTAAACTTTAAACAAAGTCGAGCGGGTGTCAGCTGTGTCTCAGATGTTAGAAGTGGGGAAAAAAGAGGTTGGTTATTTGAGGAGACCCAGAAAAATATGCCAGTTGGTGGCAGAACTAATACTAGAATTTTTTTTTTTTTTTCTTTTTGAGAGGTTTTTGCTATAGGATGCTTGTGCTCATCAGAAAGACAGAGAGAGACAGAAAGTGAGAAATCATCCTGCAAGGGGATGGCCACACTGCAATCCCTTCTCCAGTCTCCTCTTGGGATCTTGCGCATGTACGCACACACGCCTGGCTTGAGTTTAAGCCACCGGGTCTAGGACTTGAACCATGGTTGACTGTGGTAGTCATCGACATAGCCATTATACTATCTGCTAGTCCCTTTCTTTTCTTTCTTTTTGAAGAGTTAATATTAGAATTTATCCTTGTATAAGGACCCTTACTTATTTTCTTTTTTTTCTTGGAGAGGTTTTTGCTATAGAGTGCGTGCACTCGCCAGAAAGAGACAGAGAGACAGAAAGTGAGAAATCACTGCCCAGGGGAATGACCACACCAGGCATGCATGCACACACACCCAGTGTGAGTTTAAGCCACTGGGTCCAAGACACGAACTGCGGTCGACTACATGGGAGTCCAGCAACGTAGCCATTACATCATCTGTTGGTCTTCAGACCCTTACTTATTTTCTGCTCTTATTATAGAGGTATAAACTTTTCTTTGCTTTTAAATGTAGTGAAAAAATGTCTCACAGTGAAACTTTTTTTTTTAGCTTTTGCTGTAAGGTACATGGACTTGCCAGACAGAAACAGAATGGCCATGCCATTAGTCCCTTCTCTTCCGTTTTCCTCTTGGAATTTAGGGTGCATGTGTGTTTTTCAAGCTGCTGGACTGCGGTTAGCCATACGGGACTCAGCCACCTTAACCTCCACGCCACCTTCTGACCCTCATGGTGAGACTTTTTAGGAGAGTTGGAGCAATTTTAAGGTTTCTGAGGTAAAGCCATTAACATTTACATTGATAATCTGAGTATGTGACAAATAGAAACTACTCTATCCTAAAACCACTCCTACTAAAACATCCTTTTGTCAGAGAAAACTAAGCTAATCCTTCGTTGGGTTTTAAACCTCCCCCCTACAGTTGGACTTGTGATTTACTTTATTTTTGTCTTTGGTTGAGGCAATTTGCTCCATAAAACTCACCCTGAAGTGAACCAGACCTATGGCCTAGTGGTTAAGGTTGCCTATCTTAGGGCTGACCATGGTTCAAATCTTAGCCCCCACATCTTTAAAAACATGCTGGGTAGGTGTGCATGTGTTTGTGCCCCAAACCTTGACAAAATGAGAGAAATGGAGAAAGGATTGTGGCATGAGTATACCCCATTGAGAGGTGCTTTCTGCCTACCCCCTCCAACCCTTTCTTTGTCTCTTTGGTGAGCACACATAACCTCTGGCAAAACACAAATAATGAAACAAAACAAAAATATCACTCTGAATTATCATATGTAATAATCTGTCCCAGTTTTCTGAAATAATTTATAAACAAAAGGGGAATTATTACTTTTGTAGCACATCTACATTCTTATTCTACTTTAAAATAAATCTATGAATGCAAAAGGCTTCCCTCTGTTATCTTTGCAAATCTGGATGTTTTTAAAGGGCTATAAGGCAGCATTCTGAATGCAGGTTAAAATTATATGCTGTGGGAGCCAGCAGGTGGCACGGTGGTTAAGGCGCTGGATTTCCACATGCCCAATCATTTCTCACTTTTTCTCTGTCTGTCTCTGGCAAGCACTTGCACCCAATGGCTAAAATCTTAAAAAAAAAAAAATTCTGTGCTGTGTTGTGTGAGCTTCTTTAGCCTTGCTTGGTTGATAAAAGCAAAAGCTCAGGGCCAGCAGTTGGCATGATGGCTAGGTTGCTGGACTCCCTTGTAGTTGACTGTGGTTCAAGTCCTGGATCCAGGGGCTTAAACTCATGCCAGGTGCATGTATGTGCGTGCCCAGGATCCCAAGAGGAGAATGGAGGAGAAGGGATTGCGGCGTGGCCATCCCCCCCACCCCCCCGGGCGTGATTTCGCGTTGCCAGCCCCCCCACCCCCCCGGGCGTGATTTCTTGTTTTCTGTCTCTCTGTCTTTCTGGTGAGCGCATGCACCCTATAGCAAAAACCTCTCAAAAAAAGAAAAAAAGAAAAAAGAAAAAGCTCAATAAACATATTGAGGAATGAAAGAATAGCTATTTGTTGGGAACTTATCTTCTTATTAGGCATTGTGCTAAGCATAGTACATATTTATTTCTCACAACTCTATGAAGAATATATTTTTATTCCTATTTTTCAAAGGCAGAAACAGGCTCAAAGGAGTTTAGTAAGTTACCCAGGGTTATGCAGCTAGTGAAGGTGGAGTTAGGATTTGAGCCCAAGTTTATCTGACTCTAAAGCCTTATTCCTAACTTCTCTACTCCATTGCCAGGTCATTACATGATATAGTACTATAGACACAAACTGTGTCTCTCCTCAGTCAGTCTTAGTGGGCAGATAGCTTGGATGTAGACCTCAACTCTGGAAAATGCTTTACTTTTTCTTCTGCGTTAAGAGTTCAAGGGGCAGGGCCAACAGATGGTGTGGTGGTTGAGGCACTGGACTCCTACATGGCCAACTGCAGTTCAAATTCTAGACCTGGTGGCTTGAAAATCACACCATGCGTGTTGTGCATGTGTGCCCAAAATCTCAGGATGAGAGTGAGGAGAAGGGATTGTGATACAGCCATTCCCCCAGGAAGTGATTTCTCACTTTCCCTCTCACTTCACTGTTTTTCTATCTTTGAGTCTCTCTCTGGTGAGCACACATGCCCTATGGTAAAAACCTTTAAAAAAAAAAAAATAGAATTCTTGGGGCTGGCTGGTGGCATAGAGATTAAAGTAGCTGGATCTTACTTGTCTGACTAGCATAGTTAGAGTCCTGGGCCTGGAGGCTTGAGAAATACACTGGGAGCATGTGTGTACATGCCCAAAATCCCAAAAGGAGGGAGAAATGCAGGAGAAGGGATTGTGATGTGACCATCCCCTATGGGAGGGTGAGGGCTTTAGATGCTTTCTCACTTTAAACAAACAAACAAACAAACCGAATTCATATTGGAAATAAGACCTGTTTCCCTCCTAGGTTGGGCTTCTAGGCATCTGCTTGAGCGGATTTTTGCTTCAGGAAAAGTCCTGTGAAGGCCAGATACAACTGTGCAGTGGCATTGGTGTCGCTGCACAGACGGGACCCAAGCAGACCTCTGAGTCCTGTCTCACAGCCTTGAAAGCTCCACAGTTAAAGCACATAGTTGATGTCTAGTCCCATGAGCAGTCCTTGAGATGACTTGCCTTTGATATTATTCATCCCTTTTTCATCCCTTTCACTCTGCTCATTTGCCCTTCTTTGTCCCATGCTTCATCTGGTTCAAGTGTCATTTCTTTGAAACATCCCTGATCACCATCTCCAAGTTCTTTTTCATATCTGTTGAAGCTCTTCAGGGTGTCACACCCTCCTGTGATCTTGTCTCAATTCTTTTGTGATTTGTAGCAAATTATTGAGCCTTTTAAAGTCTCACTCTCCATGTTTGTATAATGGGAATATGATACCTACCTTAATAGGCTCACTTTGGGGATTCAGTTTTAATTAATTAATTAATTGCATAATGTTAGGTATTTTGGGGGGATGGAATGGAAAACAATCTCAAGCTCATAGTTCCTAAGGTATTCCTAGTGAATAAAGGCAATAGGCCTGCTGGGGAAGGTTGCTCATTTAACCTGTTCTTTATCCAAGAGGCATGGCCTAGGGTAATGTTCCCAAATTCTAGGAAATCCTGCTTCCCATCCCAGATCAGCTTAAATTGGAGTTGTAGAGAATAGGTGGAAGATGTGGTTAGATAGGTCCTGGAGAGAGTTACTATTTTTCTTTTTTCCCGGGTTTTTGTTATTGTTGTTGTTGTTTTTGCTATAGGGTTCGTGCACTTAATAGAAAGAGAGAGACAGAGAGACAGAAAATGAGAAATCACCCCCCACAGGGGGATGGCCATGCCGTAATCCCTTCTCCATTCTCTTCTCGGGATCTTGGGCATATTCACATACGCGCCTGGCGTGAGTTTAAGCCACCAGGTCTGGGACTTGAATCGCAGTTGACTACATGGGAGTTCAGCGACACAGCCATTACACCAACTGCTGGTCCCTCCCCAGGTAATTTTAATGTGCAGCCAGGATTGAGAACCATTGATGTTATGGTCATGAGAATGGGTTCTGAAACCCAATTGCCTAATCCTGGCAACACTAAGTCACTCTATAGCGCTGTGGCTTTGGGCAAGTTATTTATTAATAGCTTCTAAGAATCCCAGTTTCTGC